ACTATGAAAAATTATATGCTAACAAACTGGATAACCTAGAAGAAATTGACAACTTTCTAGAAAAACACAACCTTCCAAGGCTGACAAGGAAGAAACAGATAATCTGAACAGACCAACTACCAGCAACGAAATTGAATCGGTAATCAAAAAACTATGTAACAACAAAAGTCCTGGACCAGATGGTATCACCACTGAATTTTATCAAACATTTAGTGAAGACCAAATACCCATCCTCCTTAAAGTTTTCCAGAAAATAGAAGAGGAGGGAATACTTCCAAACTCATTCTAAGAGGACAGCATCACTCTAAAACCAAAACCAGGCAAAGACCCCACAAAAAAAGAAAATTACAGACCAATATCCCTGATGAACATAGATGCAAAAATACTCAACAAAATATTAGCAAACCAAATTCAAAAATACATCAAAAAGATCATCCATCATGATCAAGCAGTATTCATTCCAGGGATGCAAGGATAGTACAACATTCGAAAATCCATCAACATCATCCATCACATCAACAAAAAGAAGGACAACAACCACATGATCATCTCCATAGATGCTGAAAAAGCATTTGACAAAATTCAACACCCATTCATGATAAAAACTCTCAACAAAATGGGTATAGAGGGCAAGTATCTCAACATAATAAAGGACATATATGACAAACCCACAGCCAACATTATACTTAACAGTGAGAAGTGGAAAGCTTTTCCTTTAAGATTGGGAACAAGACAAGGATTCCCACTCTCCCCACTTCTGTTCAACATAGTATTGGAGGTCCTAGCCACGGCAATCAGACAACACAAAGAAATAAAAGGCATCCAGACTGGTAAGGAAGAAGTTAAACTGTACCTGTTTGCAGATGACATAATATTGTACATAAAAAACCCTAAAGAATCTACTCCAAAACTACTAGATCTAATACCTGAATTCAGCACAGTTGCAGGATAAAAAATTAATACACAGAAATCTGTGGCATTCCTATACACTAACAATGAGCTAGCAGAGAGAGAAATCAGGAAAACAATTCCATTCACAGTTGCATCAAAAAGAATAAAATACTTGGAATAAACTTAACCCAGGAAGTGAAAGACGTATACCCTGAAAACTACAAGACACTCATGAGAGAAATTAAAGAAGATACCAATAAATGGAAACTCATCCCATGCTCATGGATAGGAAGAATTAATATTGTCAAAACAGCCATCCTACCTAAAGAAATCTATAGATTAAATGCAGTTCCTATCAAAACACCAACAGCATTCTTCAATGAACTAGAGAAAATCATTCTAAAATTCATTTGGAACCACAAAAGACCCAAAATAGCCAAAGCAATCATGAGAAGGAAGAATAAAGCAGGGGGAATTATGCTCCCCAACTGCAAGCTCTACTACAAAGCCACAGTAATCAAGACAATTTGGTACTGGCACAAGAACAGACCCATAGACCAATGGAACAGACTAGAGAGCCCTGACCCAACCATATATGGTCAATTAATATATGATAAAGGGGCCATGGACATACAATGGGGAAATGACAGCCTCTTCAACAGATGGTGTTGGCAACACTGGACAGCTACATGCAAGAGAATGAAACTGGATTACTGTTTAACCCCATAAACAAAAGTAAACTCGAAATGGATTAAAGACTTGAATGTAAGTCATGAAACCATAAAACTCTTAGAAGACAATACAGGCAAAAATCTCCTGAACGTAAGCATGAGCAACTTCTTCCTGAACGCATCTCCTCAAGAAAGGGAAACAAAGGCAAAAATGAACTCATGGGACTACATCAAACTAAAAAGTTTCTGTATGGCAAAGGGCACTGTCAACAGAACAAAAAGGCATCCTACAGTATGGGAGAATATATTTGCAAATGACATATTCAACAAGGGGTTAACATCCAAAATATATAAAGAACTTACACACCTCAACACCCAAAAAGCAAATAACCCGATTAACAAATGGGCAAAGGATATGAAGAGACAGTTCTCCAAAGAGGAAATTCAGATGGCCAACACACATGAAAAGATGCTCCACATCACTAATCATCAGGGAAATGCAAATTAAAACCACACTGAGATATCACCTCACACCAGTTAGGATGGCCAGCATCGAAAAAGCTAAGAACAACAAATGTTGGCAAGGATGTGGAGAAAGGGGAACCCTCTACACTGCTGGTTGGAATGTAAGCTAGTTCAACCATTCTGGAAAGCAATATGGAGGTTCTCAAAAAACTAAAAATAGAAATACCATTTGACCCGGGAATCCCACTCCTTGGAATTTGCCCAAAGAATACAACTTCTCAGATTCAAAAAGACATACGCACACCTATGTTTATTGCAGCACTTTTTACAATAGCCAAGATATGGAAGGAACCTAAGTGTCCATCAGTAGATGAATGGCTAAAGAAGAGGTGGTACATATACACAACGGAATATTATTCAGCCATAAGAAAGAAATAAATCCTACCATTTGAAACAACATGGATGGAGCTGGAGGACATTATGCTCAGTGGAATAAGCCAGGCGGAGAAAGACAAATGAAATGATTTCCCTCGTTTGTGGAGTATAACAATGAAGCAAAAGTGAAGGAACAAAATGGCAGCAGACTCAGAGACTCCAAGAATGAACTAGTGGTTACCAAAGGGGAAGGGTGTGGGAAGGTGGGTGGGGAGGGAGGGAGAAGAGAACTGAGGGGTATTATGTTTAGTACACATGGTGTGAGGGATCATGGGGAGAACAGTGTATCACAGAGAAGGGACATAGTGAATCTGTGGCATCTTGGTGCACTGATGGACAGGGACTGCATTGGGGTATGGGTGGGGACTTGATAATATGGGTAAGTGTAGTAACCACATTGTTTTCTCATGTGAAACCTTCATAAGAGTATATATCAATCATACCTTAAAAATATTAATAACTTGGTAAGTTATCCTGCCGGAAATGTAAATTAACTAGCACAGAACAGTATTCAATATTGCCTTCTCTGTTTACCATCAGGACTCAGCTTACTTTCTTTATCCAGAGGTAGCAAATAAATACTAGGCAGGTAATGCAAATGAGTAAAAATGGACAAGTAAAAAAAATGGACAATGATAAACAGCAACTAGCCCTTAGCCTTTGTGTTAACAATGAGAACACAGAATCATGGTGAACTGGAGAGTACATCCCAAAGGGAGGAAAATGCTACTTAGCTCTAAATGGTCTTTTCTCTGTGGGAATGAGAACTTAGCGTTGCAAGATTTTAAGCTTGAAATCTTTTTATGTACAATCTACTAATATTACAATGTTGGCTACTCAGGTTCTTAATAAAAACACTGGGGACCACATTGTGTGGGCCAAATGTTACCTATCAGTAGGTCATCTTTAAGCCTTTTCATGGTTTCAGCTGCTACATATATGCTGCTACCTGACAAATTTACATCTCCCCCATAGACTGTTCTCCCAAGCCTCAGATCCATGTATCTCCCTCATGCCTAGCTTTTCCTTGTCACAGGAACCTCAAGTTCAAATATCTGACATGAAACCCATCAACCCCCCAACCCCGACACCCTAAACTGATTCCTAAGTCTGTGTTCCCTGTCTCAGTAAAATGGCACTAACATATTCACCCAATTTCCCAAGTCAGAAACCCTGGAATCATTCTCAACTCCCACTCTCCTCTACCCTATCTCATTGGTGATGAAGTCTAGTCAATTATGTCTTTAGAATTCTCTTTTAATCCATTATTCTCCATTTCCACAATCACTGTGTTGGTTCAGGCCTCATCTTTTGTTTTGCCTGAACTAAATTAAAAGTTCCCTAACTAATCTTTTGCCTTCAATCTCTTTGCCCTTACTATAGCTAGTGTTCTTTCCAAGACACAAACTTGATTTTGTCACTTCCCTGCTCAAAACTTTTCAATCATTTCTCATCACCTTCAGAATAAATTTCAACTTCTTAAGACTGTTACTCAGGGCTCTTTGTGATCTTGTTTTCCCAAGTCCAATTCCTACTGTCTCCCCAACCCCCAGTGCATTGAAATATCTTCAGCTTACCTAATGGAACATACTTTATCTGTCCTAGCACCTTTGTACAGGCTCTTCTTAATGGCTTGGGTTGTCCTTCTCTTGTTCCCTGCACTCTCATTTTCTTGGTTCTTCAAACCAAGCATTAATTCTCTCTTTTGGTTAGCACCCTCTGACAAACAACCCCCTGCCCCAGGCTGGTTAGATATCCTTCTCCATCCCACAGTACTCTGTGCATATTTCTGTTGTCTATTACTTGACTGTTTTCCCTCACTGAAATGGGAGAGACTCTGCCTTAGTTCTGTCTCCTCAAGACTGAGCACACCACCTGATCCATAGTAAGGCACTCAATAAATAGATGTTGAAACAATGAATGAATGAATCTAGTCCAACTCATGGTACTAATGGGGGAAACTTTGTTCCAAATCACATGGCCAATCAGTGACAGAGCTAGAGAACCCAAATCTCAATTTCAGCTCAGTGCTCTTCCTACCAGACTAAGTTTGACTTTGATGGGAGTAGGGTGAAAAGAGAAGCATTAAATTGTACTGGAAGGCAGAGATTCAAGTTTGGCCTTGAAAAGAAGAGTTGATGTGGAAGAGAGTAGTCGTTTTAGGGGAAAGATGAGCAAATGAAGAAAAATGGCCAAGCACATTTGATTTGTCATTCTTAAGATGAATGCTTGTAGAAAGATTTGAGGAAATCTAAAGTCGAATAAAACAGCTCACAGATGACATGAAATTTTTAAAAAAGGGTACAGACTACTAAAGATGGAACTAGGCTTGTAATCAGGAAACTTAAAATTTTAACAGCATGAAGTATGCACTATGCTAAGCATATAAATTTATTCACTTAATCCTCAAACAACTCTGTGTGGTAATATTATTCCCATTTTACAGGTGAGAAAACTGAGGCACTAAATGTTTTAAGTAGTTTGAGATTTCCTAAGTAGGAAGTGGCAGAACTGGGATCTAAATAAGGCAGTTTGATGCTAGAATCCATGTCCTTGTCACAGTGCCTGAATCATAATTCCAACTTTGGCAATCAAGAAAAAAGGGTATCACCTAGGTTTCACTCTATGAAGTATGAGTTACCTGATGGGGGCAATTTTTTGGGAGGGAGAAGACTGTTAGGCATGTGGAGGATGGGAGTTCTTTGTTCTATGATGCAATGATGACCTCAGGGTAAACTGCCAGCAGGCTGAGGAAAATGGAATGGCTGCTAGAGGACCTGTTTGGGGCTGAGGGGGCCATGGGGCTTCTCTGGGGCCAGCTGGCCCATGTCCTGGCCTGCAGGTACTGTGGCAGCAGCTGCCTCGAGAGTCCAGGGAATCTGGTGATACTATTCTTGTTCATGGTTTGGCAGATCCGGAGGTGGTGGCAGCTTCAGCCCTGGTACTCTGGGGACATGATGCAAGGCAAGGTGGGTACCGTGGATGTGCACCTGGGTGAATGACTGTTGATATCACATCTGAGTTCAGGTGAGGAAGCACTGTTACGGATGTGGTCCCGAGTGAGTGATGAAAAGCCTTAAATGAGATGCTAGGTGAGTGATCATGGACACCAGATTTGAAGCCAGGTGAGTGATCACTGACCCTAGATGTCAGGTTATGTAAGGGAATGCTGATCTCCAAATGTGAGCTGGGTAATGGCCATTAACATTAGGTGGGTAAGTGACTACTGACCACAGGTGTGGGGCCAGGTAACTGTTCACTCTGGATGTGAACAGGGACTTAGGGCTTTATGACACACCTTGCATCTCTGGAAAGGCTTCATGCCTCATAGTACTTTCTCCATCCCCCAGGGCCTACCATTTATGTACCTTGTGGCTTTCCTTGATTATCTGTGGAAGCAGAAGTCAGAGAAGGAGGGGGAAAAGGAAGAAGAGGAAGATGACGTCACATCTCTGGATTCATGTTCTCTTCTCAAAGAAGCTCCTGTTGGACAGCAAGCCACCACAACCCCATCCCAGTTATCCTGTGTTTCTGAGGGCCTCCACAAGGCCATTGCGACACCAGAGCAAGGACTCACACAGACCCCAAGCCCTTCCAAATCCTTCCCCACCTTTCAAATCCTGACCAACCTGCCTGTGAGGCACAAGACATCAGGAAGCCATCTGCAGCAGAGAAAAAGTCAGTTCTTCTGGGGTCTCCCCTCTCTGCACAGTGAATCCTTGGAGGCCATCTTCCCAAGCTCAGGTGGCCCCTCTCCCCTGAAGTTGTCTGTTGGTCCTTCTATCTTCTTCAACAAGCTTGTCTTCCTGACTAGGTCCAACCTGCTTCTTCCACAGTATTGCTCCCCAACCCAGCATCCCACCCATGAAGTCCATACTACGAAAGATCTGGAAGGGATGGCCTGCGGTTTTCAGCAACTTCCTCCACTGTCTTCCCTTCCTGTCCCGTCACTATCCCTCTTTCCCATGGACCACAAAGGAGTCCCATCTGATGCTGAGGTACATACACAGTGCCTTCCACAGCAGAGAGAGGTCCCTGGGGTCTCTGAGGATCAAGCACTGCACCCACTGCCTGAATTCCAAAGGACCAGACCTTTCAAGCTCTTCTCATCTGAGGTCTGGCTGGGGATGCGATGGGATCCCAGCATCCAGAGACACAGTCTAGATTTACTTCCTGCCTCTCTGCTGTATCCCTCTACCGTTCTGGGAGTCCTGACTAGGTTTGAGGCCCCTTGGGAGACAAATGAGTATCCCAAAACCTTTGAGCCAGCAATATCAGCTCCCAGTCCAACCTCAGCCTCCTTGCCAGAACTCCAGGGAGTCAGCCCTATAGGAGGCCTATCTGGACTGAAGGTCTTCTGGAAAACCACAAGGCAGAGAGAGAGTCCTCAGACCTCTGAAACACCAATCCTAATCCCTTGCCAATCTGTAACTCCCAAGACAAAGCCTCAAGGAACTGGTAGCCCTCTAAGAGCTCCATCTCTGGCTCTCAGCCCACCCCTAGCTCTTGTTCTGGAGCTGCTCAGAGTTAGCCCCACGGAGATCCTGATAGATTCTGAAGCTAGAAGTGGGGACATACAAAGGAGAAAGAACTCCTGGGCCTCTGAGCTCCCAACTGGAGTCAGCCCCTTGAGAGTCCTTTCTGACTCTGAGCCTCTTGGGGTAGACATGGAGCAGAAGGAAATCTGTTGTGTGCCTGCCTCCCCAATGTGGGGCCCCAGCCCATCCCCAAACTCTATGTCGAAGTTGCTTGTCAGTGGGCTTATCAGAGACCAGTGCAGCTCTAAGCCTGAGGGAGAAGCAATAGAGCAGAGAGAAAACTGCTGGGCCACTGAGCTCCTAGCCCTAACCCCCAGTTCATTCTCTGCTCCTTTACCAGATCCACACATTGACCTTGAGGTCATGTGCAGGAATGTGCAACAAAGAGGGTACCCTCAGGGCCCCAGCCCTCCAGCAGCAGATCCCCTGCAGCCAATACTCTGGCTTCCCACCCTAGCTGAAGCTCTGAAGATCAAGCCCAACCAGCCTGGCTTACTCAAAGGAGAGCTATTCCCAGGGGCTAAGGCAGAGATTTCATCCTTCCAGGGAGAGGCTGTCCTAGAGATGCCCATACATTCTGGGAGCCAGGCCTGGCACTGGAGTAGAGAGTTGGAACTCAAACTGAAGAAACTGCAGCAGAACCCTACTTCCAGATCCTTTGGTCCAAGTCAACCATTTGGCAGCTCCCCTACCCTGAGCTCCACAACTCTAGGCACCTGGAGACTCTCTTCCTGCCCCCCACCGAAGCATCTCCACAGTCTGCACCCCGACTCTTCAAGCTGCCATCACCTGAAAGTTCAGAGCACAGTAACTCAGCCTGTGCAGGCCTCTCACTGTTATCACTCCCACTCCTCTTCCCAGCCTCAGCCACGAGGGTCTGGCAGGGCAGAACAAAGATCTGAGAGAGAGAAAAGAATGGAGATGATGGCCCAGGTCTCATCCCAGGGGCAATGCATTCACAATGGGACTGGTGAGAACTGCCCAGGCCAGGGACAGCCCTCAAACCCTGAGGTTCCAGCTTCAGGCAAGACACAGGACAAGACTCTAGCCCTCTCTTCAATTAAAAAGAGAGACAGCCCCTGGAAACCCAAAGTAGAAGATCACGGAGGAGGTGACATAAGATTAGAGTCATCAACAGTTACACGGAAGAGTCACCCAGCCCAGGCCAGACTAGCTGATGCCTCAGTAAGCAGACTTTCCCAAAAATCTCAGCATAGCCACCAGAGCTCTCGACACAGTGCTCTCCCACAGCAACGTCACTCTAAGGCTGCAGGTCCCCAAGATCGGCAAGGGGCAGGGCTGGGAGCTGGTGACACCCTGACCCCTCGGCACTGTAAGCACTACTCTTGGGCCCACATGGAGAAGCACCTCTCCTCCCCTACACCTCAGGCTTCTCTTATCAAGGGTCTGCAAAAGATTTTTGCCAAGTGTCTGGGTATCCATGGACCCTTGTCCCCTAAATCCCGTGAGGAAAAGCTGGTAGTACTGGCACCCAGTAACTGGAGATCTGAAGCCAAACCATTTGGGAGGTGTGGAGACAAGCAGAGGAAATCCTAATAAACTAGCTATACTAGACAGACCCCACTTTTGTGTTCTTTGGAGTCTAGGGTACTGGGAATGTCAGTTCCCTATTAATTTCTGCTGCAGTCATCTCTCCTCAGGATCAGGTCCCAGAAGTGGAGAGCTCAGGATTCTGCAGTCTTAACTTTCTTTTCAAGCCCCTCACAAACGATCCATCTGGAGTCCATATATCCTGGTTCTACATGGTGAGGCTGTTAAGGCCAGTAGAGCAGAACACAGTCCAATTCTGCGCTTGAGAAAACCTTCACAGCAAGTGAACAGAAGACACCCATTTACATGAGAATAACTGGTCTGGGTCTAGGCAACTATTTTTGGTCCTGTATAGTCCCCCTTCTTCACCCACTTGATCCACAAGTTCTCCATGTATCTTTGACCATTTCTTCTCAGCCCTCTGTTCTTCTCTCTCCCTGGATGAGCTCATCCATCTCCAAGGTCACAAAAACAAGTGCCTTTTCATATTTAGCAGCCATCTAGATTTCTTCTTCTATCACTCTGCCTGTTCATTTCCTTTACCCATTTTTGTACTGCAGTGTTTGTTGGATATATTAGTTTTCTCTTGCTGCCTGCTGCCGTAACAAATTACCACAAAACATTTGTCAGAAATCTGACATATGTCTCACCAGGCTAACATCAAGAGGTTGGGAGTGCTGCATTCTTTTCTGTAGGCACTGGGTAGGATTCATTCCTTGTCTTTCCCAGCTTCTAGATGCTGCCCACATTCCTTGGCTACTGACCTTCCTCCTCCATCTTCAAAGCCAGCAAAGGCAGTCAAGTTTTTCTCATATCACATCACTGATTTCTTCTGCCTTCTCCTTCCACTTATAAGGACATTTGTCATTACACTGGGTCCACTTAGATAACCTAAGAGATAACCCAAGATATTCTTCCTATCTTAAAGTAAGCTAGTTAGCAATTTTAACTCCATCTATAACTTTAATTCCCCTTTGCCATGTAAAATAACATAGTTCCAGGGATTAGGACATGGACATTATCCTGCCTACTACAAATATTAACTCCATCTATCATTTGCTGCAAATATTTTCTCCCCATCTGTAGCCTATTTTCTAATTTTGTTTAAGGTGACTTTTACTGTACTGTTTAAATTTTTTATGTAATTAAATCTACCCTTTAGATTCTAAAACATTTTCTTCTGGCACTTTTATAGTTTTATATATTTATATTTGTTAGTTTGATTTTCGAATATGGTATGAGGCAATACACTAACTCATCCCTCACCCAAACATGTCCAATTTTACCCATATTAAAAAAAAATTAGAATGTCTTGAATGCATTCCTTGAAGTGCCATATTTTAAAATATGGGTTATTTTTTAAGCTTCCCCAGGCTTCAGATTCACATATTCAACAGCCTAAGAGAAATTATCTTCATATTCAACTTGCCTAAAACTTACTGATATTCTCTTTAACAGTTTCCTCCATTGTGTTCATTTTGATTGAAGGGTACCATATCCACAGTACCAAAGCAAGAAGCCTGGCATCCCTGAGTCCCTTCTCCTCACCCCCCAATCTAATCCATCATCAATTACACCTATGAAATCTATTTCAAATCCATCTTTACCTCCCCATCTCCACTATCGGTCTTAGTTTAGTCATCATTTCTCACCATATGGTTGCTCTATTCCTTCTAATCCATCCTTCACATGGCTACAACTCTCTGGAGGTCAACTAACCCAGTCTCTTCACATGTCATAAAAGTAAAGAACTTAACAGATGCATCCTGTGGTCCCAGACTGGATGTTGATTTTGTCAGAACAGTTGTGCATTATGACATATTCATGTCATGACACATTTGGATCACTTGAGAAACTCTGAATATGGAAACTCTTGAGTATGAGATTAAATGAAAACTTACTGAAAGGGCAAGGCAGAGATTATTGACTAAAAAAAAGTGACAGGCTCTCATTTTAAAAATATAACATGTATGAACACATTTATACACACTGACAAAGATTCACAAAGATAGGAACAAAAGCTGATGATCTCTGGTTATTGGGAATATTAATTTTTAAAATTTGCTTGTATTTTTCTACAATGCACACGACTGCTTCTATAAAAATAAAAGGGTTTTTACAGGTGAACTGCCAATGGAAAAAAAAGTGAATTGTCTATGCACAACAATGCACATGAGGTTGACAATCATACCTAAGCTTTCAAATTGTTAGGTGAATTTTGTTTTTGCCACAAAAAAAATGAAAAAGTGTATTTCCTAGCACTGTAACCTATCACTTCCTGCCTAACCCCAATTGGACCCACATCTTTAGCATTAAGGTCACTCCTGGCATTTGAGTTCCTTCAACAATGTTGTTTGACTTCTTCAAATCCACCCCAGGACTCCCTTGGTAGTCAACCTGATGTTTCTTACTCTTGCTGTGTATTCTCTGACCTCTATGCCTTTTGCTCAAACTGCTTGTCCCGACTTCTCCTTGTCAAAAGTATCACACCTTTTAATAACCAGCCCAGACTACCTCCAGAGCCTTCTCTGATTCTTTTTTGGTATGGTTTCCACTTCCTTGAAGACCTGTAACAATTTGTGCCTTGTTGATACCCATTTCCTGACAGCATGGCTTACCAAGCCCTTTCAAAGTGAGGTTCTGTGAAGTCCACATTCCCAACCCAGTGCTCTTTCCACTCTACAGTATTCCCTCTGTACATCTGGTTGAGAAAAACAGGCAGGTAGAAGGCACATCTTATTCCCCTGCCTCCTCTAATGTCACTGTTCTGTTCCTAAGCTTTATTTAGCCCAAACCTGTCTATAGGGTCCAATTCAAAAACACACCACCTCCTGAACCCTCCCCCTCCTATTCCAACCTATTCCCTCCAAACTCCAGAAAAAGTCTCAAAGACAAAGCAATTCTGAGTTTCTACTTAACAAGGACATTTAATGAGTCTATGCATCTCTGGAGAGCTTGATGAAAAACCCAAATCTCATATTCTTAAGTCTTATTTTCAAGACCTCAGTAGGTTGTAGAGCTGGGGGTTAATAACAAACCACTTAACATTTGCCACAGTTCAGTTGAATTAACGATTGGCAGACCTGTGTTCCTCATGGGCATTGTGTGACCACTAGACTTCCAGGGCAACTTTTTGATCAGTATCTTAAATCCAAATATATCCCAATATGCCATAAAATCTTTGCTTTTGCTTCTGTGTTATATCACGGGTATATTTGATGCCATATGCTTGATTAGAAACCCATCTTCTAATCATGGCATCTATTTTAACTTCTGCATTTATTTTAACAGAAGTTATCAGCTACAGTAAGGTCACATTTCAGTTTCTTTCTGTGAACACTATAAGGGAAAAGATGGACCACCCATACAACTTGCCTCTTTGTTTAAGTATGTAGGCTTCTGTAGGTGTAAGCCAATCATAGTCCCTCACAGTGATTTCTAGTTATATAGAGCACTGTCAATCGTCTTATCAGATTAGAATCTTGAGACCCAGAAAGAGGTAGGTACTTTGTTTAAAGCTACAGTTATAAATACACAAGTGCTGGAACTAGAACCAGGCTTCTCTCAAGTCTGCTCTTGGTTTTTCCTAAAGAATCTATCTTAAAGAGCTCCAACTTTCCTAAAATTTGACAAGGGAAGCAAAGCAATTATGCCAACACAAATTTCTATTATGTATCAACAAGTATCTGTACATATTTTGTGGGAAAATACCACTTGCCTTCTGTTGTTCCCATAGCTTGATGCAGAGGTACCAATTGTCTTTTCCCCAAAAGACCTTGTCTTTGGCCCTCATTGTGGTTAGGCTGCCAACCCATAGGGAAGAGACAAAGTGACCATGTTCAGAGTGGAGGGCTGAAGGCTAAGCCATCAGGATACCTAAATGGTGGGAAATCAAAGGAGGACAAAAGAATCTGGTAGAGAAAAGGTCATGGAAAACAAGGGAGAGCCAACTCAAATCCCAACAGTACAAAAATATCTACTTCATAGCATGGGTTTGAGATGCCCCAGTTTAACCAGCCAATATAACTGTGCCCTTGTAGATTATCTGTGTAGACCAGACCTGAGCCTGGTGTAAGTACTAGGATGACCAATACAAATTTGACTCAGTGGTTATTTTCTCTGCCCCATATTCCTCTTTGGGTAAGGCATTGCCCTACTAATCACAAAAGCAAAAAATGACTATGTTGGCACCTTTTAAGTGAAGAGGATACTCTATACTTGGACAATGCTATGTAAGCAATCATTTGAAAATCTGTGAGTAGGGGAGGATGTTAAAAAAAAAAAAAGACATCCGATATTACAATTTTGTATTAGAAAAAAGCTTTTTTTATATATAATACAAATTACATAAAGGTGGACATAATCATGTGATCCTCAACCACAGCATGAATAGGATTTTTAGATGCAACAAAAGAATATCCACCTCCAGAGATTTTATCTTTCCATAGGCTTAAGCTTTTTGGAGGGCACCCCAATGCAGTTCTTGGTCAGGGGAAGATTGCTCAGCAAGCCTAGCCTTACTATCCATATAAAATATAGGTAGCGGATACTACATTATCCCCATCTGGAGCTCCATCAGTCTGCTCCCCTCCACTGTAGCCCTATCCAGTGTTACTGCAGACATGAGGTGAGGCAGTAGGTCATACCAATGTTAATCAGAAAGGGAAGATGGGGCAATCTTACATCCAGGATTTCACATTTGGAAGAGTGCCTTGGCAGTGAGGGAGACCTTTACTAGGAAAGAAGCAGGCACAGGGGCCAGGACTCAGGCTCCATTTTGACCCAACGTTTATTGTCCTTTTACAACATGTAATTTTTGGCTTAGAAACTGCTTGTGATTAGTTTTCCAACATTAACTCAAAAGCATGTAAAATAATCAACCTACTCTCTATAAAACACACAGCAATTGCAGCCCTTCACCCTCCTGCCCAGGTTGGGTAGGAAGAGGGAGGGAGAGCCTGGGCAGCACTGAGTACAGCGCAGATGCTTTGCTGTGGGGAGTGGTG